CTGGGAGACAGTTGAACAAGTGTCTGGGACATGCTAAGTCTCTGAGGAACTGTGACGAGTATATGCTCAAGAAACACTTGAAACATCCCATCCTCACTGAGCATGTCCAGACTCTCAGAGGTGGCCAGGCTGCAAACAGACCATCCTACCAAGCTGGAGTTTATAAAGCACAGAAGAACCTTCTCCATGTGGCAGGAAATACACAAGAGATGGACATACATACAAAAAAAGAGGAGATGCAAAAGAAAGTAAAGTTGGAGTAGTAAAGTAGAAGACCATGAAAATCCTGTTCAAGACTGACTGAACAAGCAGAAGAACACTGAACTGATGAGTAAGGGCTCCATAAGGGACAAACGGATTAGAAAGACGAGACACAAAGAGTCACAGTAGGGGGTAAACAAAGAAAAATAATGTCATACCACCACTAAATCCACCCTGCCCAGACACTGGAATGAAAGCCTTAATTTTCTGTTACATTACTCCTCTGCTGTCAGTAAACACACAGAAGAACAAAAATCTCAGTGTTTCCAAAGAGAATGCAAGTTGAAAATGCCCATCAGTCACTCCAAAGTGTTATGTCAAGTGGCAGACATCTATATGGATAAAAGACCTCAACTGGGATGAACATAATCCAAGAGAACATAATGCCCGTATTTTCCATTTTCTCAATGGGAAAAAGCCCGTAGGAATTCCACTCTGAGGCACTACTTATTACAGTTGCAAATTCAAGCCTTGAAATGATTTAACGATTAAGATTGTGCAATTATGTGATAATTTAATAACGATTAGCTATTCAGTATTTTCTCCTACCTTCACGGTCTGCTGAAACAACCTACAACTTTTCTGTTGCATATCCTTTAAATTTATTCTCAAAAACAAACGTATTTGTTCCTTCATCAATATTTCAGTAGTGTTTATCACTACAGTATTTTGGTGCTTCACAAACATTTCTTTATATTACAATATCCTGTGCAGAAAAGCAAAAGTGGAATCTCCATTGTGCTAAGAGGAAACAAATTACAGAAAGATAAAGATATTTGCAACTTTTTATTTCTAGATCAAGTCACGAGATTTTCAGAATACCTAATATATGCATTTATATAGATTGTTACACATTTTAAACACAGCTCCTACTGACCTCAATTGCAATAATGGTACATAATATTTATGCAAGTCAGGCTCCACGCTCAACACCAAAAAACCAAACATTTACAAATGTCTCTAAAAATTTAAGTGTAGGAGACTTGTAGCAGAAGTAGTGACAGAATCCAGTTCTTCAAGGCAACATTCAGCTACACTCTTCTTAGCTATACTGAGACAGACAGACAGTCCTTAAATTCAAACATCATTCTTGTTCAGGGACCACACTCGATCTCTCTGGATCATTTCAATTTCAGTGTATGAGCTGCCAAGACTGACCGACTTCACCGATGAGAGAGAAGAAAAGTAGTAAATCCTTGCTTTGGAATCCTGCTGGGAATTATTCTACAACTCTACACTGATTTCTGGCATCAGTATACCTCCGGCTGCTCTCTTTAAATAAAAAAAAAAAAAATAAAAAAATTAAGGAAAAAAGTATGCTCTCGTTAACTTAAAAGCAAAACTTCAAATAACTGATCTGTATTGTGAAACATGCTATTGAAAAACTTCAGTTGAGTATATCTCAGTACCATCACTTCAAGTCACATATTTGTACGCTCTGACTCCAAAGGGACAGTTCTTTTAATTGATCCCACATTAAGATTACATACGACATTCTTACTTAAGGAACAAATTCTTCAAGACGTTTATAAGAAACAGAAAAATAGAGTACTTTAAAAAATGGCATTACTACTTCCTATTACGTAGAAACAGAGAAGCCATTAAAAAATTACTTCATTCAATATTTAACAATGAAAGGCACACAGGCCTAAAAACTACTTACATTAAGTAAATTTACAAGAACATAACAGTTCTAAAGTCAGTATCAGAATGAGGGCATCTTTAAAGAGGAAAAGGCAGTAATTGCCTGTTGGTGTGACCTAAATCCAAAAGAAAAGAAATTAACTACACTGTAAGTAAAGGCAATAGTTTCTATGGATTTTTTTTGTGTGTGTGTGGAAATGGAACTTAGGTGACTAGAAATAGTTTCTGTAATGAAAAAAGTTTACTAAGACATCAGAGCTGTGAACACAAAAATTCAAAAATACTGTCTCCTTCCTGAAAGTACTTAATACCAACTTCTCAAATCCTTACTGCATCTTAATATTCCCAGAAATCTGACAGAACACTAAACATGTGTAAAAGCTTGAATGTTCAGGATTCAGTCCTCCTAGACTTGTACAGTATCAGTCTACTAGCACATATCACAACATCCTAAAGCTCATACATATGGATACAAAATAATCAACAGGGAGTAAACAACTTCAGAATTCTTTTAATTCAGTTTTTAAATAGTCTTTTTTAACTTTTAATTTATTTTTTTTTTAAACACCTACATATGCATCTATGAATCAAATAAACATACATTGCAAAGCTGTGGAATTACCATACTTACAGGATTTTTCTGAGTGCATGAGTAGAACTTATGGTCATTTTCAATGTTGAAAGATTGTTTCCTCCTTCTGTCACACTTATTTCCCTTTGTAATCAAACTATGCAATGAAATTCTGAATTTGTTCAAACAAATATTAAATACTGACTTTCAACAGGATGCACATGGAGAAACCTCTACGGTCACTGAAAGAAGAGCAGCAGCTCTGACTGTACTGGAGAAATACACATCATGCTTTGAAGGCTGAATCCACAGTGAAGAAAAGGAAAACCTGTTTTCTATTAGCAACAATCCAGAATTCATCTAGTATGGCTGCTTGTGTGTGTACTCAGATATTGTTTATATAACTTTGAAATTATAAATTTTACTTACACGTGTATGTAAAGAAGCCCCTTATTTTAGCACTTCTTCCACCCGAATCTAAATGGACTAGGTACAACCAAATTGAAGGCTATGTTATGCCAGCTTCATTTTAAATTAGCACTGATGTTCTGTTTCAAATACCCTGCAACCATTCATTTAACTTGTGTTACACATACGAAATGTTTCTTTTTCTTCCAACTTAAGAGTTTATATGTTTAATAACTTTCTATTCCCCAACTTCCCGAAGCCCTCACAACTTTCTCCCTTCACATTGAAAATCTTTGAATAAAGTGTAAAATGTCAAACTCTGCTGCTGTTTCAAAGTGTTTTCTCTAAATTTTAAATTTTATTAAACAAAACATTGATTTCTACAAGTGATAGATATACGTTCTGAGATGTTAAAACAACACTCAATCAGATATATGAACACAAAACTGTAATTATAAAAACATTTTATAAGTAGAACTTGTTTTTTTCTCAGTGTGTTTTTTTAAAGGAAAACCCATCCAAGTTCCTCAAAATGAAACTGAGATTGAAATACTCTCAAGGTTAGACACTGCCCCCCCGCCATGTGTACGTACGAAATCCTAAAAGTCAAAGAGGATATCAATTACAAATTAACCCTCTGCATTTAGACATAGTTGAGTCAGGAAGCTTTATTCATTATTTTTAATTAATGAATTATTGTCTTTTAATGAAATAATATATTGCTCTGAATTATGTGTCCACCTCCCATACTCCATTTCCAATTTTCCTTTTCCCTTAAATCCTGCCTACACTACTGTTCCAGAATAGAGAGATATTCATTGGGAACTAAAAACAATTTCCTTTTACAGCAAATTGTCTTTAAAAAAAGGCAATGCCCTTACTCAAAAAAAAGGATCAAAAATCCCCAAAACAAGATTAAAAAAGTAAATGAAACAAGCCACCAAAAATCTTAGAATGAAATTGGTAAGACAACATCAGTTTTACTCTCTTAAGTCATTGCAGCCTGCTTCTACCAGACCAACCAAGGGAAACATATCTAAGCTTGGGGAACACAAATAAGGAGCATTAGGGCATATCTTAAGACTGGCAATGGAGAAATGATTATTAAGCATTAAGTTCATTAATAAGGAGAAGCTTGCCAGATGTTAAAAAATAAGCCCTTAAACGGAGATGGCAATATTTTTGCAAGATATGTACACATGAAAACATAGATCAGCATCCTCAGTGCAGAAATAACAAAGTTAAGCTTTTTGACAAAATGTCATAATGCTTCCCTTACATCTTACACATCTTGTATCTCTTTGCTTATTTCCCTAAGCATATGCCACAGAACATCCAATGTGCAGTTTATACACAAACACAGTCCTGCCCCTTCTTTCCCTTCCCTCCAATAAACTTGAATTTGTTAATTTTATTTTGGCACCTTGCTTACTTTCAGTTTCTGTGGATGTTCACTGCAGATACAGGAATCTGCACATATAGAAAAGGCTACAGAACAAAAACACTCTGAGGCAAGGACTTCCTTTCTAGTATGAAATGGGTACACCTTTCTGCATAGCTATCTGAATGGACATCTTAAGTTTGTCTACTGTAAAAAACAATAAAAAACTGAACATATTATCTTTCTGTTTAAGGTTTTCACTCACCAAGTGGAATTAATCCTGAGAAACAGGCAAGTTCTTAAGTCCACAACAAACTATTACCCAGACTTATTCAAAACAAAACAGCTTTAGAACATTCTTATTTCAATACTAAATGCAGTGAATATTTCAAAAATTATCTCTACATTGAAGAAATAAAAAGCAAAAGATATAGCTAAGCCAGTTAGCACAGAAGCTACCCAAATGCTTCTGCCAAAACTTGTTCGATAATCATGAGTCTTCTGTTGAGAAAAAAATAATTCCGATTGAAATACTGTATAATGTTTTGTTTGATCAGTTTTTTCTTATCCACAGTATAAAAATTTCCAGTTATCCAACTGAGTCACTGAACTTTAAGTGGCTTCAAGTCCCAACAGTTCACCAATACCATTCTGTCTCCCATATGATATTAAATGAAGAACCATAAAACAAAAATGAGATAATTCTGAACCGAGGAGATGAGGAAGCATATTTACCTGAAGCATCTCCAACTTTAAAATCACTGTCATCAGAGCTATCATAATCTAAAGCTTCCAGCAGCGAAGCTGCCAAAGGCTTCACTTGTCTCCTCTTCGAACTGCGGTCCACTGCAGGAAAAAAAAAACACAGTATTGTTACTACGTGGCATAATGAGAATTCAGCATCGTCAAAGATATTTAAATGAAAAGGAAAGGCAGGAGAGCCGTGACAGGCAGGGGCAGTCTCCGCCCCACCGCCCGAAGAGCAGCCCGCAGATCCCGCCGGCACGGGGGTCCCGGCGACATTCATTGCCACAGGTGAGGGAGAGGAGCGGCGGCACGCACGCCGGCACGGGCTCGCCCACAGCCAACCAGCCAGGAGCTGCCTGCCCGCCGGGGCAACCGCGCTCCCTTCAGGCGCCGGGAAACAACACGGCACCGCACCGTCCG